AAAACTAGGTTTACAGTTCTTTCCTTTTGATTCTGAGGTAGTGAGTGGATGTAAAACATTTTCTTATATACAAACTTTTAAGTCACTTAGAAGTTTCTCTCTAAGTTAGTATCAAATAAATCAGGATTAAATTTTATCATGCGATTTTTTTTGCAAAAATAAGTTTGAGACTTTAAGCGTCTCTTGTGACAGTTGCGGTATATCACGACACAAAAAAATTTTCAAAAATTATGGGACAAACAAAACGGGACAAAAAAGCCCGTAAATTTTTTTCTCGGGACAAACGGGTTTGGGACAACGTTATTTACTCACGAGGTCGGGCTTACGGGACAACAGAAAGGTTTGTCCTGCAGGACTCTAATAAGTAGGGTCGTATTTTGGCAGGGCAATTATGTCAAAAGTATAATCAGTCGAGAGAGCAAACAATTTTATAACAGCTTCACTGAAGAGTCATCCTAGTTATGCGGAAAAACGAGTATCAATGTTTCGGACGGTATGCGAAAGGTTTTGATGCGGTAAGTAAAGGTTTTGATCCCAGTATGAGAAAAATCCTAATAGCGAAGAATGAAAATTCATTTTGAGCTTCTCCTGATGAAACGTTCCGTCGTCTATAGTTATAATTCACTTTGCGTAAAATATTGAAATGTAAAAATGAGCTGAATTTGGCTAAATGAACAGCGTGTTCTTTATGCCTAATAAATTCTTATAAGTTACTAGTAATAGTCAATGAGATTGATTGATTATCATAGAACTGGCTTAAAGTAAAGTCTGTTTCTTCGAATTCAATTTCAAGTCAGTACATTCGTTTACCGGAAAACGACAGTGATGTAAGGTGTCGGCAATTCGCAATAATAACAGTTCGTTTTTCTTTAACATGTTTAAACAACGCTCATCAAATCACCGAAGACAAAATTTTGGGGGGAAAACATTTATTCAGTTTGTTGTGCTGGTTAATTCTGTTTTGCTTGCAAATTAGTTTGGTATATCGTGATGCTACGCTCGCGGAGTCTTGATAACCAGTAAAAATTTTATATGGTGTAGTGAAGTAGCACCGTCGATAAATATTAACCTGAGATTTTTAAAACTGTAATAGGACATTTTGTGTATTCATATCAGCGATAAAATTCATCAGGATTTGACTTATGAACGGTCTAATTTGTGTCTCAACTATGTAAGCCATGCATAACATCGGCTTTTCTGACCTAGTAAGCTTCCCGAAAACTATTTCTTCGGCATTAGTGAATTTCCACATTTCTGAGAAAAGAGATACCAAATCGTATTGAAATTTAACGTGAAATATTATGCTATCTTATCAAGATCTTAAAAACCACAATCTTACACGATTTTTGTAAGATAAATTTGAGAAATGCCTAAGATTCTTATTGGGGATTTGTGGAAGACAAGAGGATCACGTATATAACAGCGGTCCAGTGATAGATCAAAGTACATGCTGCTTTATGTTCTTTCTATTATATATCAGTCACGCGTTCTCAAACAGCTGGTCGTACGTAATACAACGCGTACATTCCTATGAAAAAAAATGAAAGACATCAATTAGTCTGAATCGCCACTGTTTCATTTTGTTTATGACATGCCAAGGGTTATTCGATATAGAGTTATATTATATTCTATAATGCGAAAGGAAACGGTTATATAATCGCAGAGCTGTCATAATCCTGTTACACAGCGTATCGTGAAACAACGGTCAAAATACCAGTGTGGTGCGTAACGCAAAAATTCTCAAAATGCATGAGTTGGTTACAGATGTGTATGTAATGATGATAATATATAACGTAGTCTGAGTAGGTTGGCTATGATGAGTAGGATGACTAGGTTCAGGAGATTACGGATATCACGTGATCCAAGAAGATTGAGTAAGCTAAAGGCGGTTTCTTGGAGTTTTATCACTATAATGCTGACTTTTTAGCAAATGAGCGATGAGAAACAAAAATGGTAGATGCCGATGCAGCTTACTGTAAATTTTGGCTTGGGGTCAACTTTTTTGAATGAATTTAAACTAATTCGGAGTTAAAAATTAGTTTGCATCGATTTAATATGAGAGCTTTTTAATTTGTTAGTGAACAAAATTAGTTTTTTTGCAAAAATAATCGATCAAAATCAAATTTCGATTTTTTACTCATTTTTTAAATTTATTAGAGTTAGTTTTGTAACTTTTATTTGATCTTCATTCGAAATGTATAATTAATGTGAATTAACCTTGATTGCTTTTTTAAAATCGACATATTTTCTGCATATACATAACAATATATTTATCTTGACATGTATGTGCATACATGAAGGTTGGGAATTTGGGATTTTACTCAATACAGAGTCTGTGTTAGTTAACGCTTAGATTTGCTTCCAGTATTCAGCATATGAGCGGTGAAGCAGAGGGGGGGGGGGGGGGGCGCAGGGGGGTGGGGCCCAAAAAAACCGTTTATTTTGCCCCCCCCCCCCCCCCCCCCCCCCCCCCCCCCCCCCCCCCCCCCCCCCCCCCCCCCCCCCCCCCCCGCCCGGCCCCCCGCAGCATGAGAGTGAGTCACTAAAAAACGTTTTATTATGCCCGGAACTTAGACGATTTGCTTTTGGGAATCGGCGTTACTCGTATTTATAGCTATGAGTACGGATACAGACTCTGTATAAATATACATAGATTTGTGAATATGGATAGAGACTGTGTCCACAATACAGATATATGTGTGTGTGTATTCGAGAAGGACCTGTACGCAGTATTCAAATACATTGTATCCGTATTATGACAACAATTTTTCTTTGTTTAACCTACTCAACGTAGTCAACCTACCAAGGGGCAAAGGCGGCTCCGGGAGCTGTCCGGAGCTGTTGAAATGTTTTCCAACGGTTGAGATGCTCAGATTTAACTATTGATAGTTACACATGCAGATGCATCTAGTTAAAACTCCCTTTTCCACCTAGTAATCCGGATGGTAACTAGTCACATCGCTCGATTACAGACGAAATGTATCTAAATTTTTCTCATAGGTTTGTTTGCTTGGGCATGATCGGTTTTTAGAAAAGTCTGCATCCGATGCAGAGCGATGTTCTCCGATACTAAGAAAGAAAAAAGTCGCCTTTTCGACCTTGCAACGTACTCAAACTACTCAACCTACTCAATCGCATACATCGAAAGTGTTGAGTGGTTTTTGAAAAGTTTTTTCCTTGAAAAAATCGGTTTTTAATATGTATTACTTTTTCCGGTTAAAATACTTTTAAAAGTTTTTCTGAATGAGTTGATCGCTTTCCGCAAAGATTTCTCTTCAAAATGAGACGTTTGCCGGCTCTTCATGATGATATAGTCAAAAGTTAACAGAGTTTTACGAAAAGCAGCAACTGCGTTCAGTATTTTCTTTCCTTCTATCTTATAATTACATTTTTGCGCAGGTGGCATCGACATTTCCCAAAATTTTTCGTTACAGTTCGTCGCAGCGACTTAATTGTTTTTTTTGAATTGTAGGGTATAGTTATAGCTGGAGGATGAAAGAGCCCGATCTTTGCTTTATCCTTTAGATTTTTAATAAAACAGAGTTTTCTAGAAAATTCCAAAGGAGTTTTTTGAGTTTTTGAGAAAAACCGGTATCAAAAATCCGGCTCTGTCAAGCTGACAACGATCAGAATAGTATTAGAATCTATAATACTGCAAAGCATTAAGTTTGATCCTCTTTATTAGGCCACTATTCGACATGCACAAAGAGAGACACCCTAACCAAAAAAATCTTAGTACGATTTTACTACGATTTAGTATGATTATTCGGGAATCCTAGAGGGTACTATGTTTACAGAACAACGTCTTCTGGGATATCTAACAGAATTTTGATTATGAAAATAAAATAACAAGACTGGCTCACGTGTAGCTGAAGAAAATAAAAGCTCAATCTACATTTCATAAACCAGTATGTTATCTGCGCCCAATTGTAAAGTTCTCTAATATATACTCAACCTACTCAACCTCTTCGTACGCTAGACCCGTAAGAAAGGATAAAACTTGGATACGCAACGTATCAGGATTATGACACCCCTCTATAATCGATAATGTTGAATCATTCAACATTATCGATTATATAACCGAATTTAACGTTCTAGAGAGTAGTACTCCCCAGAACGTTAAATTCAACTAAAATATGTTTAAGTGATGAATTTTCTTGGAAACACTATAATTTATGATACCATATATACCAAAGCACATTCTGGGATAAATATTGATTAGATGACTGGATTGTTTTAATAATTCTTTCAGATCATATTCCTGGTCGGTAGTATAGTGAGTTAGTATAACTGATCCACGTTTTTGCACGTTTAAGGCTCCGTTTCAGGGTGCAGAAACTTACCTCGGATCTTGAGAAAAATCTTAGTAATGTTGATCCTGTCAAAGTATGCTGACGAATGTTTTTTCACTCCATCTATCTCTGTACACGAGATGTCGCTCCTACAGTGGTCAAAATGGGGCTGTTCGTATCTCTCCAAAGTTTTGCATCTTAGCCGCGTATAGGAGATTCTAGAACAATAATAAATGTTTCTCAGAAGAATAGACTTGCTTTTTAAGCATAATTTACTGAATTTCAAATGAAGAATCAGTAGAAATACGCGATTAGTTTATCCTGTACCTGTTCACAGCGACATCAATTTGTTCAATAGCTATTGGCTAATTTCTTTAATCAGTATTTTCGATCGACGGGCTTCTTTGACGGGAAAAGTTGACGCTTAGCGGGAAGCAAGTGAAAGAAAGTGACTTTATTCATTATTCACGTCATAAAATGATTAAGACGTGCTTATCACTTTTTCCTTTTTTTAGCAATGCACATTCTCTTAGTTCCATGGGAATTCGTACTTCTACAGATTGCTCACACCCTCACCCTCACACTCCACACACACCAGAGTGGGGTGTGTGATCATTATCTTATATTTTTCACTTCTTGAAAAAAAACTTCATTGAAAATGAACAGATCTAATTCTCGTCGTTTTTCAGATATTTTTAATTAGTAAATATGAACTCAGATTTATATCTAAGTCCACAAGCTGGATTGTTTGAGAGCGCTGCTTTTATCGAGGAACAGAATAACGAAGTAAAATCACCAGCATTACCACGATTTAGTAAGTAGAAAATCAGAGGAGTTCGTATTTGACTTTCAATGATTTTTTTTTTAATAATTTTTAGATCCTTCATCCACACTACTAGCAGCTGGAGAAATTCGTGTGCATGACGATGGACATCGACAAAGGTGGGATGGTAATAAATGGCAATTATTATGTGTTCAAGAAAATTGTGAAAAACGCGCACAAAAAGCTCGATTTTGCTGTGCACATTTTAATGAGCATAAGAAACAATCAGCAGCAGCGAATGATTTCCAAGTTTTATTAAAAAAATATGTACCAAAGAGTGGAAGTATCAAACAGGAAGAGCAAAACAATAATCAAACTTGCAACGACGAATTTATTGAATTGACAGCGTCACCAAGTGATGATTGCCCTTTTATTGTAACGCTGTTTTAAAATAGAAATTTTTTCTTTTTGATTCTAGATTCCTTTTTATCATTAAAAACAACAGCGTCAACAGCCGTTACTTCATCACCAAAACTGGGCGATGTCAGAGTATGTGGTGAATCAAATCGTCGATATGTTTATGCCATTGGCCAAAAATGGCGTGCTCTATGTCAAAAAGAAGGATGTGATAGACGAGAAAGAAGTCATCGACTTTGTACTTATCATTTCAATGAAGAACGAAATCAAACAAAAAATTGTAAACAAGAAAGTTTGACAAATACCGATGAAGGCGGAACAAAGAGAAGAAAAAGTATGTTGTATGAAAAGATCGAAAGAAAAAGAAATTGAACAATATTAATTGGTTTTTTATTCTAGCTGACTTAATGCAAGCGTCAGCATCAATGGTAACAACGACTGATACACCAGAAAAATTTTACAAACGTCCCGATGGTAAATGTCAACATCCAACAGCTTGTGAACATGCTTCATTTACACGTTGTCCTCATTGCTTTATCAATATATGTTTTCCTCACTTGATTGAACATCAGAATCTGGTGAAATTACAACGTGAAGAATTATTTGTTCAAGCCAATCGTACCCACACATTATTAAAATCTCTCAAATTTGATAATCAAAAATATGCTCAACACGCGCATATTGAAAATGATCGATGGAAAGAAATGGAAATTAAACGAATTCTTCGACAACATGATGAAAAAGTGCAAAAAATCAATCTAGAATGTCAGCTCATGGGTGAAAAATTCCTTGAAAATCAAACAAAATTAGTTGATACTTATGCAGAAACAATAACACCAAAACTGGACATATTATCAAAACAAGTTGATTTATACCAATATGAAATTGATGATGTTCAATTAAGTTTAGCATCATTTCAAGAATTCGTTCGAGAATTAAGCAAAATGGCCGAACAAGAACAACAACAAAATGCAGAAAGTGATGGTGATGCCGTAATGAGCTAAAATTTATTCGTAGTTTTCCCGTTATAAACATATTTTACATGTGTATCTACTGATACTGCGATATTACTGTTTTCTTCTGACTGATTACATTTTTGTTTTCTTATAGCATATTCTTAAAAACTCATGTACAAACAAAACGTGTGTCTCAGTTTTGGGGTTTTTCTATGTCTCACAGACGAAGTTTTTCGTTTCTGTGCATGTGCCCATTGTTCCGGTACTTTTTTGTTGTCCCGGTGTTTTTATCCAGTTTCATAATTTGTTTGTTCCTTCTGGAAAGAAACTCTTTTCTTTTTCATCATTTAGAATTTGTGTGCAGTCTGTCATTTTGTCGAAAGACAACGGTACCTCATTCTGCTTGATAGTCTTGTGCGTTAAGCTAGTCACATTGTTTGTGTTAAACACTGATGTGTCTCTTACGACACATAAAAAGTCGAATTGTTGTCTTCTTATGGCGCTCTTGTCGATAGTGAAGTGCAATAAGCACAAGGTAAAAATTTCTTTTGCAAAAACAATTTAGATACATTAGTCTGCTCGAAAGAATACTAGGTTGATTTACTGTTAAGAATATTTGCTGTTGTTGTTTATTTTTATTTCTGTATGATTTCTGTTATTAGTTTTGTTATTATAAGATTTGTGTGCGTACATTTTATGGATTAAAAGCATTTTCTCAACTTTTCTCAAACATCTAGATTTTGTCTCAGCATTTTGCTTTCATATTATTCTAGTCTATAGTTTGAAACTATTCATCAAACATTAATACGGAAAATTTTCAGCTACTCTCTAATTATTTTTAATTATTATGGACAACGTTTCATTTTAATTGCACGTATAAGATACTACGTGAAGAGTGTTTGTTATCCGTTCACCTTATGTACCAATTGATTATTATGCCGCTTCTCCCACCTCTATATGGGTATATTTTAAGGTCTCAGATAAGGATCTAGGATTACGATAGAAAAATTTAGTGAAATCGAGGCTACGTCTTGGTAACAAGATGGCACTCCAGTCATATCGTCAATGACACTTGTTTGATATCTTGTACTATGAGTATGAGACCGGTATGTTTCCCTCACTTATAATATAACAGAATGTCTAGAAATCGCAAGAAAAAAGTTGGAGAAAACCGATAGTCTTGATCTTGAAACATTACTTCAAACGAAACGACAGAAAACACTGCTTTCAAATAGCTAAAAATAGTATTGATATTTTATTATTGGAATGCTAAAAAATGAAGAACGAATAGTAAAAACTTTGACAACATACATAACAAAAGAGAGAACAAACTTTTTTTAAAGCAGAAAACAATACTAATCAAATGATTAAATGTACTAAGGAAAAAAACCATCACAAAATAAAAAGTGTTGGATGGACACTCTTTCTAGAGTAGAAACAAATGTATTCATCAATTGAAACTGATACAAACACGTTTAGCACTAGTAAAATATCATTTTTAATTATTTGAAAGTACAGTGTTTGCTATCGTTTCGTTTGAAGTAATGTTTCAAGATCAAGATTATCGGTTTTCTTCAACTTTTTTCTTGCTATTTCTAGACATTCTGTTCTATCATAAGTGCGGGAAACATACCCGGGTCTCATACTCATAGTACAAGATATCAAACAAGTGTTACTAACTATATGGCTGGAGTGCCATCTTGTTATCTAGAAATGGTCTCGATTTCACTAAATTTTTCTATCATAATCCTAGATCCTTATCTGAGACCCAAAAATATACCTATATATCGTTGAATCCAAAAAAGATATTCAACAACTTAACTAAGCTCCTTTTCCAGGTGAGACAACTAAGAATAGATTAAAATAAGTGTTCGATAGTTTTTCTTCCGACAACGCTTCGACTAATAAGATGTTTCAAGCTGAAATACGTTGATAGTCACCATTATTGGAAGAAAATATTTTCCACATCGTTGAACTCTTTATTAACTTAAAAAGTCAATAAAAAATGAATTAATGAAAAGGTAGCAATTAGTTTTCAGGTTTTTTTTTTGCTGTTCATTTATTGTTTAAAGTTTTAACCATGAGACTTATTTTTCTGAAGATATATAACAAAAATTTGAAAATGAGATCTCAGTAAAAAAAATTTATTTAATACGCATATATTGCGTTCTCTGAAGATGAGCTTTAATATTTTCTAACTTATTACTGGCTTGAGTACAACTGCAGACCCTTGCATTACTTGTACTATGATAGCCATGAATGAACATGAGATCTTGCCTATATGTAGCAGCTGTTCTTATGAAACTCTTGTACTAAGTGTACATTTTGTTTTTTCCCCACAAAGAGTATAATGTGTATGTGTTCGACAGCTGGAAAAGAAATTATCGGCCAACGAAATCAAGATCAGTCATGCATTAGAATTTTGACTATAGAAATACTTCTTTCTTCTCATACTGCTTCTTTTCAATTTGATTGTTTATTTAGCAATCAATTACGATAAAAAGTAATAAAACAAACGAGAAATAAGTCAGACTACTTTTGTTTGTTTATATTGTCAGATTGCTTATTTCCCATTATTTTAGTCAAAAATAGTGAAAAAATACCATAATATAGCTAAAATGAAAGATTAATCCTCTAATAGGATTTGATAGTCAAAAGAGATTTTGAGCTAGTTCTTTCATGAAGAAGATGCTCGTCTCATGATGATTCTGTGATGGACATATGATATGTTCTAAGAAGCATTCTTTGGCGATTGTTACATTGACAAGGACTTATTTTTGTTATATCTCAGCGTATGTATTATTTAGTAGGAGAAACAAGAATATGGTTGAAAACTACAGATTTATATATTTTCAGGTCGTCAAAAACAGTATCATTAACGGACGGTTAAACTGGATATCTTTTCAAAAATAAATTCTAATGTCAAAAGTGACGATTGACCATAAAATGATTGTAATTTTTGCATTCAGCTACAGTCACCACATTAAAATCATACTATAAAACGACTACTAGTCATTGCTGCGTTGTAGTTCAGACATAAAATGTCGTCATGTACTTGTCTTGTTCTTATATGTACGTGTGTTTCTCTTTATTCTAACTGTTTTTTTCTAACTAAATATCGTACCATATGTTTATTATTCTTTACTATATTCTTCTCTTTAAACAGTCATATATCATTAATAGCATAAGTCTTTAGTAAGACAACGATACTTTCACATCACTGATGATTTATGTTTTTTCATTAAATATAGCTTAAACTAAAAAGGCTGAACAATTTGGTTAAGAAGACTGAAAATTGTTAAATGATCATCATCTGTCTAGGCTATATGCAGGCAAAAGAAAGATAATAACTGAATGAATGATTGAAAATGCCACTTTTAAAATAAACAATTTTTAAATTTCAAGTGAACATGATTAATTTGACAATGGATGCAAAACTTACATTTTTTTTAACTTAAAGTTGTTGTCGAATAGAAGAGGTCTTGAATTTACTTGAAATGAAGATCATCATAATGATCAGTATGAAAAACTGAGGATGTACAGATTAATGGGCTCTTGAGAGAAAAGAAACTATCGTTAAAGATTTCGTCTAGCGTGTTCTTTTCGGGCATGTTGTTTCGATATACAATAGATCATTTTATAAAGAATTATTTGATTTCTAAAATGCATTATTTCAATGTTCAATTTCTTTAAATTTGACTTCAAACGTACACATTTTATTCGAAATTGAAATATTTTTCAAATTTTATATAGTTTGTTTATTGGAATTTTTCCCATACTAAATTTTGATTTTATCAATTGAAGAGCAGCGTATTTTGTTCGGTTTTTGCGCTTCTACAACTAATGTATCGTTTGCTATTATGAAATAAAAGAACACATTCACAAAAATTATAGAACGGTCATGGTCAATTTAAAGAATGTGCATGATTATTGTTTTAAAACTTTTCTGATTTAAGAACAAAATGTTTGAAAGTTGTTGATTGTGTTTCAACATTCACAAGTCTAAAAGTTCGAATTTCTGAGTAACTTTTGACGTAGAACTCAACAGATACAGTTAATTTCAAAAGTATTTTTGAATATATGTTATTGAACTTTCTCTTACGTTCTATACTTATCTTAAGTTCAACTTAAGCTACAGCCAAAGTAAATTCTAGCTGATTCTGTTTCATAAAAATAATTAAGCTGAACCTCATTCAGAAACTTAGATTTGTCTCAAACTTCGCTTAAACTTGAGGAAATTTTTGTGAAATACAGGTCTATGCAGAGACATCAATAAACTTTAAGGAATTTATTTGCGAGCAAAATACTCGTTTGTTCAGTTCTTGTTTTGCTTATTATCTCTCTAAAATTTCAGTTGTATACATTAAATACTCAGGGGCCTGTTTCTTAAAAAAACTTAAGTAGAAAATCTTACTTAAGTCAAACTTAAGTCCAAAAAAGTCTTTGTCTTTTTTGACTTAAGTAAGATTTTCTACTTAAGTTTTTTTAAGAAACAGGCCCCAGGTAATGTTTGTATTGATAAAATAACAAATCGTCGTTCCGTTTACAACGGTAACCGATGGTTTCTATTATGTGTACAAGAAATGTGTTTGAAAAACTTGAGATTAGATAGTTTGTGAAATGTTCATTATACAGAGGAAGAAATGAAAAAAAATCTCAGTTCCCTATTAAGCAATCACGGCGAAGTCAGCGAACAATATCCAATGAATCATTGAGACAATAAGAAGAAAATATAACACCAATTGTAGTAGAATCTGAAGAACTCAAAGATCCAGGAAATCACCGACTATAAAGGATAAAAGAGGTACTCATCTTTGTTCAAATTTAGCGTGGTCATCATTAAATTTGTCACTATCATAATCATCGTGTTTTACACTACATATTGGCGACAAAAACGTGCATGACAAACCATTATATGTGATGTGGTTCACCGTTGGTATCTCTATAAGACCAAAGGCGAATGTTTGAAACGTATTAAACACCATCGATTATGTGCAAAATATTTTAATGGGTCAAAGCAAGGAATGAACAAAAATCTTAGTTCAAAT